AAACTTGATGAGAAACGCATGAAATAATATATAAGTTTTAGTTTATATATTATTAGATTACTATATAGTTAGATTCGAGACAAAATACCGACCAAAATAATTGAACTATGAATCAGTGAAAGGGATAAAAATAATTTAAACTAATATAAAAATGTGTGACATTGTAAAACAACAATCTACCTTTCAACTGTAGTATATACCTCTAATTAATTAATAATATATTGACGATATATTGACAACTAAACTAGTTATTGTCAATTTAAATCGTGACCAAATTAGTTACAGATCCAAAAAATTAAAATACGATACGGAACCCAAATAATTTACACAAAATGTATACTTATTGTTAAAATCTGTATAACACATCTGGTAATTTGATATGCACATGTCCAATGATAAGTTTGACCACCAAATGACTTTTTTTTAACTTTCTGGATTTCCGAAACCGCTAGACGTGCCTCCAGCATGTCCAAATTTAGTCAGTCATTTAGTCCATACTAGTAAAACGTAGAAAATGCGAATGATCATTCATTCATGCTGTTCATTTGCTACATTCAAAGATAACTTTTGGTATTATATGCCAAAAACTACAAACAATAATTAAACGTATGACTTGTCAAAATCCGGCTCACATCTACAAATAGAAAAAGAATTTCTTTTAACGAGTTTTGATGAAATTTTTTATGATGGGAAAGTTCATGTTCTTAACGATCATCCTAAAATATTATAGTTTAGTTTAGTATTACAATGTGTGGAATGCCTAATTTATAGCCGATACCTCAATTATTCTGGTTGCAAATAAGCAAATTTGTTCTAGCTCATTTTGATTCTATTAAATCTATATATTACACGAGTAAAAGAAGAAATGAATAAATAATACAATGTTATTTTACATATTAATTGTTTTGTATAAACTAAATCCACATACGCTTAAAATTATGTACAAGAAATTAAATCTATATACATGCATTCTTTCTGCAAATGGATATCACTCAATAAACATCGATAGTTTTCAAAACATCTATGTATACATAGAGTTTAATTATTTTTAACTATGAATATTTACACATCATTTTTATTGAACACAGATTAAATTTCTCACATACGTTTATGTTATATCTACATATATTATAAAATGTATATGCATTGACAGATCAATGCATTTAATTTAACGGGATTTTCTTCAATTAAATGATGATGATGCATAAATATTCATCATATACAGTTATTTTCACACATATTAATATAATTATTTTATATCCAACATTTTTTCAAATGGCATCATGCACTACTTCGGTGCTCTTCTGTTAAAATTATCTGAAAAAAGTTCATGTTTGAGCCACGGCTTTACAATATTAGTTAAAAAAAAATGGACTCTTAATTATTGTTAATAATGATAGGTGTCTTTATACATTTGTACTCAAAAGTTCTGAAGTATTTTACTATACTATCTTAGCACGTCTGCATTTTTTTATTATAACATTGCAAAACTGAAAATTTCATGATACCGAGTTCTTAACCCTTTCGCTACGGGAACAGCGTGTCGCTCAGTTGCACTACTGAATGGGGATATACAAAGACAAATTTTAAGATATTTATATGATTATCAATAAAAATGTGTAAAATTAAAAATCCTTCCAATGAACTAGAAATTGCTGTAATAGACTAAAATTCTCAATACTTTAACACAGTGATAAATCTTAAAGCAAGGGCAAACATAGCATGTCGTCCAGGGACGACATCTGTACACGCAGCACGTAATGTAGATATTGTCCAACGACGACATCCATACGTAAGGAACATCATGTGGATGTCGTTTAGAGACGGCATTCGTAACGAAAGGGTTAATAATTAATAATTAATTATAGGGGTATGTTAATCGATGTTTTCAGCATAATAAATATTTGCCACGTTTTAAGACGTTGCCAATCAATTTGAATCTCGAAATATAACAAAAGAATTGCCTATTATTCTCGTATTTTTTCAATATTTTTTATGTGTTTACAATATAAAAATAAGTTACTTTCTATTAAAAGAGAAAAAACTGATTAGTGGCGAATCATCTATTAATGCAACATACAACAAAAAATCACAAATATAGGAAGTATGGTAATGCACGTTCCACTTGGGTCCTGAATGATACATTTTTAGAAAGACTTATGTAACAAATATGTTTTAAATATTTTAATCAATTTCAGGCGAATCTAATATTAAATATGGTAAAAAATTCCATAAATATAATGTTCTCACAAAAAGCATGGCATTCGTTCAGTATATATTACACACATTAAGGCTTATCTGAGAACATTTAAAATTTTAAATATACTAATATTTATAAGCCAAATACTAATGTTAGTTGCAGAATGTTCTAAATTGATGATGTCGAAAATTACGATCCAAATTAATCTCTAGTTAAATAATATTAATAGAATATGAGTCAAACTTCTTTGAACAAAGTCATATCAATCTTTGTACATAGATTAAAAGACACTTAACATATTATAAATTTTTACATTTGCTATACAGTACTACACTCAAAAATATAATAGATTTGCTTTAGATTATATTATGTAATAAATATATATGTACAATACATATTAATGATAAAGATTATTTTACATATAAACAATGATAGACAATTCATTATATTATATATATATATATATATATATATATTATATATATATATATATATATATGCGTAGAATATAACTCACATTTGGGAAAATATTGCTAGTATCGATTATAAACAACAAAAATGTGCATGAACCTTTATACTAATAATCAAATTTTTATAGACGTACAAAAGCTCCGAATCGTGGACGTTTTCTAGTACGTTTCTAGGTATTTTATAAATATAATATAATTACTGTACCTTACAAGAGAATAAAATAAAGTTAAATACTTCCTTTGATTTTCACACAAATTGAACTAGTATATATGTAGGATGGTACGTTTTTCTTTAGAGAAAAAACGAACTAGTATAACTTGTCATATTTTTTTAATAATCTTTTAAGTCTAATGATGGCACATTATTTACATACATTATTTAATAACTTAATAAAAATACTGAGAAAACATAAATACAGTTTCACTCGCAAGTTTTGTCAGTACTCAAATTTTGCAATTTTATATGAATGTTGTAAAAAGTTTTATAAAGAAAAATTCTGAAGCATAAGGTTTTCAAGTAATTAATTACGTATCTAAATACGTAAGTATTTATATTACGTGTAACTGATCAATTCCATTTTGATAGTTGTGGTGTTTTACATCACTGTAGACGTGGCCAATACTGCACGCTCAATTCTGGGTGTTGCCTTGGGACGGCTATCGGCACGGACACACCAGGCGATATCAGACCTTTAGACATTTCATGGCTTTATATACACACCTCAGGGTTTGAATTAGTTCAAATAGTTATAATCTCAAAATCAAGCAATTAAAAATATATAATTTTATTTAAATAAAGCGGAATTGAAACGAGTAGATTAAACATTAAAACAACACAATGCCAATTTTGTGAAGGTATTATGAATTGTTAAATGTATTTTTATAGCAAATTGAGTTTCAGTATTATATAACTATTTTACGCCCAGATATTAGAATTTAGTTTAAAAGTAAAAACTACAGCAAAAATATTGTAAGTATATGATTATCAGAGCTACTCCTATAATGCAAGGCCGTTTGACCAGATCAGCGTATATAAATTTTTATGCATAGATCTTTGCCGCTGTACTCGTACATAAAAGCAACCATCGTTAAAGCAAATAAAAACTCCGTTAGTCGTTTAATATCGCGTCATACGAAGTAAGAGAGGTTTCCAACGCTACTGGCGTATTCATTACGCTATAACCGCCACTGGACGCCCCACATGTCCGAGAAAAACTCACCGGTGGAGGGAGGCGCTCCATTCTGAGCGTACTGGTTCATCTGATAACCTTGCCCGGAGGACACAGTCGCATGTGGCGCTCTGTTGGCATAACCCAGATGATGGTGGTGATGATGGTGAGTTTCGTATCCCGTCGTGGGACGTGGTAAAGTGTGGTGATAAGTGGGTGCAGAATCAGGCCGCTGCTGCAAGCCACAAGAAGCACCACTCATAGAAGTGCTGCCGGTTACCGGCACATTCAACCCGGCTGCCGCTGCGTTACTCATAGCGTTTCCCGGATGCGCAAAGCCAGACATTGATGACATTGTACTGAAAATATAGAGTTAGTATAATTAATAAATTAAATTAACAGATATGCCATTTCTGCTGATTAAAATTTTTCATAAAATACCAGATCTAGGTTATATAAGAAAATAGAAAATAAGAAAGTAATTTAAGTTTAAAGAAAAAACAATTTTACAAAAGATAAATTAAATTAATAGATATTCCATTTCTTCTGACTAATATTTCTCACAAAATACTACATCAAAATTATATAATACTAGCAAACCGGGCGAACTCCGTTTCACCACCAGATGGTTTCATATTATGTAACATTTTGTTTGATGATTAAAAGATGAAAAAAAATTGCCTGCTGTTAAAATTGAATGAAAATTTGCACAATACACGTGATTGATTTGATGGTTTCCAATTGAAATGTTTGAAAACAAATAACTTATTTTTTTTACTTTTTTGCACAATTTCACAGTGAGCACAATGCCGGTTTGTCACATAAAATTAACTGAGCAGAGAACAATAAGTAGCTGTCAAACAAATGAGTAACAGTCAAACAAAAAATATTAGTTTGTAGTACGTGCTAAGTATCAGAGATAACGCTATATGTAAAAAAAGAAAAAGTGTATTCCGCTTTTCCGTTGAAATCTTTCTTAAATTTTCTTTGCTATAAACCTCATGGAGTCCGAGACCTTTCGAACGAATACAAAATCGTCGAAATCGGTTCGTGCGTTCTGAAGTTATATCGTCAGGAAGGAAAACCCGATTTATTTTTATATAATAGATATACTGTGTAGTCTTTGTAAAAAATGTGCTCATGAAATTTTTATTTCACATTGATTGAAAAATTTAGGTATTATTTTGTAAAATCTTTTTAAAATTTACTATAAGAAATTGTATTTATTTGACTGGTGGTAAAAAAGAACTGGTGACAAATTTTAAGAAAATAACTAAATACATGTTACTATAATTATATTATTACTTTAATTACAAATCCATTGGAAATTATACTGATCATAGTTCGATGAATATTTATTTGTTACGTGTTAGTTGTTGTGATGTAGTTAGTTTGTTTTAGACAGTATGAGTACTGAGAGTCAAATTGAACCTTCGTGCCCCTCCCCACTCTATTGAAATTTCTTTTACAGAATATAATATGGTACCTGTAGGTATCAGTAAGCGGAATCGTAGGATACATATTGTTAGAAAATCCAACATTATGCAAATTGAGACGTGGCGGAGAACCAACAGGCAATGGCGTTGTAATAGCAGGTTGATTTGCGCTGCTACTGCCGTTGCCGACTGCGCTTAAATCACCTTCACCCGCTGTTCCAGGTCTACGCTGGTTACGAAGTTTCTCTTCGCGACGCCATTTCGCTCGACGATTGGAAAACCACACCTAAAAATTAGAATATGGTATAAAGATCTATGAAGTACTTCCTAATTAAATACTGAATTATTTATAAGACTCTTGGTCTTATTTTATTTACGACAATTGAAATGTAATGTATTTTGTAAATAAATTTTAAAGATTACCTGAATTCGCGCTTCCGGTAAAATGATTTTCGCCGCCAATCGTTCTCTTGCGAAGACGTCCGGGTAGTGTGTTCTTTCAAACTCTAAATTGCAAAATTAACAATATAAAATTTTGCATACGAATTAAAATAAATATATTTACAAATTGATAAAAAATTAAGCATAATATATCTAGATTAGTTGAAAAATTGAGCATAATATATCTAGATTAGTTGAGAAGTACCCTTTTCTAAGCTATCGATCTGTTCGTTTGTGAATGAAGTACGGTTTCTTTGTAATTTTCGTTTTAATCGTAATCGTGCCTGGTCATCGTCTTGTCCTATAACAGATCCAGCGTTAGAATTATCGCCTGAGCCTGTTTCATCGGAATACTGTCCACTATCCAAATCAGTCACTAAAAAAAATTATGGGTTTAATTTTAATTAACATATGACTGTACACGGCATATATATTTATATATATATATATATATATATATATATATATATATGTCTTAAGGATTTTTTGTTCGACGTTGAAACATATTGCATTGAATAAAACAGCCAATGCGTCGAATGTAGAAAGTTTATTTTAATTTTTTTATAATTCAATTCATATATATATATATATATATATATATATATATATATATATATATATGAACAAGACATAACTTGGGAATAGTTAATAATTGGAACAAAGCACCAAGGGCCAGTGATTACTTTTTTATAAAATGTTCTTACAAATTCAATAAACAAGCGAATTTTACGTCGAAATGCATGGAAAAATAAAGATGTTTCAAAAATCTGTACTTTATCAATTTTTTACTTGATGTTACGCCCTCTAATAAATTAATCATATATATCAACATCAAATTTAAACACCTTCAACATTATATATATATTTATATATATATATATATATATAAGAAAAATAATGAGAGTTTTTTTGCAAAACTGTGGAAAAATTTTTTTAGGTATTTTTGCACAGACTGGAGGCTATGTAATCGCTGCAAATCCCGAGGCAAAGTGATGTGAGTGTATATATATACATGAAATGCAACACTGATTCATTATAATTAGTTCATAGAAGTTATGTTGTAGTACGCAATATAAGTATGTTAGAATACTAGATTCAATATATAATACTTATTGAAAAAAAATAAGAATAGATAATTAATATTATCTGAACAAAATATCAAATTAACGGAATAGTTAACCACAAACTATAAACACGTGATTTTCATTTTAATCCTCTTTGCGGCAGGAACTGGAGGTGATCATTCAGTCGAAGTCTGAGACATATGCTTTACAATTTATATTTACTTTCAAAATCGATATTTTCCATATTTGACACATCCTGACCTACCAACACAGGATTGACCCTAATAACATGACCCTAATAATAACATCAGATTTAAATAAATATCCTTAGTCTGTGTGCTTGTATGAATGTAAGTAAGCTAACAAATACCAATGTGCAAACTTATAAAATTCATAATAAATGTATAATAAATACATCATAACATACGAGATATCAATTACAATGCAAGTCGGTATAATTTCTGATAACATTCGTCGTATAGTGTTTCTCAAATCTCGTCCCGACGATCTAGAACGATATCTGGTATCTATCTGAACAGTATGGCCGGCTTCGTAGCCGCTCTCCGAATAGGTCTGTTCGGTCGACCAGTTGGGGGAGGGTAGAGAAATATCTCTCTACTGTAGATTCAGTGTTAGAAAGCGTTCAGCCAGAAACCTATGATAAGGGCACAACTACGCCCGCACGCGCAATACACCGGCACGTGCTGCGTCCTCTGTCCTGTACAATCGCGCGCACATACATACAAACACCGTCGGTGTTATATTTTGAGCATTTTTTTTTAAAAAAAAATATGACTGACGACTTCTATTTTGATTGTTGTTATGCGATATTTAAAAGACGCATAAAAATTAGAATGGCGATTTTTAATAATTTTTAAGTATACGTTATTTAATTGTTCTATGATGTTTTGGTATTTTCAAGCTAGACTCAACAGTTTTTTATATAACCTCTAGAATAGCTTACATGCCGTTGGAGTAAAATGGACTACCTAAACTTTTACACTGGCAAGGTGTAAACAATAAAAAAAATAGTAATTTAAAATGTAAAATAAGTTTAACTAGTGGTGCATGGCATCGTGCCTTAAGGCAAATTGCTCGAACTTTCCATACCAACAATTAAGGTTTTTAAAGAAAATTCAAAATTTTGTTAAAACTTCGAAATAATTAAATTTTTGAAAATTTTAAACTTTTTATCAAAGTAATCGCGCTGCGTTAACTGCGTAAAGACGAAATATCGAAGCGCGTAAACGCCTCGTTGCAGTCTAACAGATGGGCATTGGTACGGAACCCATAAAATGTAAACAAACTTTGTTCTTATCATTAAATTCTCTATAATATACATATATGATAATTTGATAGTATAATTTTTAATTATTACACAGGCCAACAAAGAAAATGGTGCAAACGATTTTAATGCTGTTTTTAAGTATATTTGGGGTGCTAATTTCAAAAATGACATTAATGACAATAATTGGTTTTTTTCTATGAACTTTAGTTTTCAAGATATGATATATATGATATATAAAGAATGAAAGTACAAAATAGTAATACAATTCAAAATGTTATTTTAATGAGATATAGACATATCGTACATACAAAACTACAAGACCCTTAATTGGGACATTAGTTGACACTGTGAAAAGTTCTTTTCCGTGACGACCTAGAATGGACCTGGTTTCGGCAACTTCTTTCAAAGTTCCAAACTAAAGCTGATACAAAAAATGTTTTTATTAGATCTCCAAGTCGATCATGTCGTTAATGCAAATACATAAAATGTTTTTTAATTCATTCAAATCGGACGCTCCGTTATTTCCAAAACTGAAGAACCATTTTTTTGCAACTTTGACCCCGTATCTTCGAAACGTTTCGTTCTGCCTTTGCCAAAAACTAATCAGCAATCTCCTAGTCAATACAAATCGAATGTTGTTTTAATTATTTAAATCAGTTGATCCGTGTTTAGAAATTCGTTTACAAAACTTTTTGTCCAAATACACACACACATACACGTATATACATTTTTTAAGGTATATGCCAAAATGTTCAGAAACCTTTAAAACGTAAATATATGCAAAAAAATTCATTTACAATTTTTTGCGATCACCATAACTTACCCTATGGGGTAATACCATAAGTCAATAAATAGTTATATTCCAACTCTGCTGATGAATATTTCTGACAAAATACCAGATCAAGGTTATACGCAGTATAATAATACTGTATATATATATATATATATATATATATATATATATATTAGGGTAGTCCTTAATATGGACATTTTCAAATTTCCTGAAAAAAATTGTTTTTAATTTTCAATTTTTTTTCCATGCTATTTCCATACAAAGTTTGATTAAATTACGCACTATCTGAAAGTTAATATTAAGAGCTAAAACTTTCAGAGAATTATTTTATATCAATTTGGAACCATTTGAGCCCTTGGAAGCAAGAAAATTCGAAAATATCCTTATTAAGAACCACCCTATATATATATATATATATATATATATATATAATGATATTTGTAAAAAATGCGTCCATGAAATATGTATTTCGCATTAGTTAAATAACGAAGCTATTATTTCATTATGAATATGACACTGAAACTGCCCCAGCTGAAAAAGAGACAGATGACAAATTTTGAAAAATAGTAAAAAAATCATATTTCTACAATCAGTAATTAATTGGTAATTTTATTGAACATAGATAGTTGGCTGTTTGATAGATGTCATGTGTTGTGACATAGTTGACTTGGTTTAGACAGTATGATTACGGAAAGTCAAAGTGGACCTTTGTGCCCCACCCTATGCGTCATTCAATTTTATACTGCGAACACCGATATTTATAAATAAATATCCAATATCAATCATATTGACTATTAATTTAAGAAATCATCACGGTCTCCATGAAAAAGTCTAAGGTGAGAAAAGACGCATAACTGGCAAACACGCTGCGAAAACACGGTACGGGGTGCCGAGAGCGAGACAGTTCATTAAATAAATGATTCCGCAGATAAAGCTCCCCGAATAAATATCTTCTCACGACACCCGACACACTATATCGCAACGACGTATCTTTAACTGCGACACTCCACCTACTTCAGAACCCAGAAATAAAAATATAGCCAAGCTGGAAATAAGCGAAATTAATCGATATTTTAATTGAACATAAATATATAATAGAAGTTATATCGTACCGTTGATTTGCGCAGTTAATTGTTTTTTATTATATTTTTTAACAGCAATCAGAACCTTACGTCCTATGAGCTATTGGGCTGAAACTTCTCCTTACTTCGTATTTTTAGATGGTAACCCAATGGGTAATCCATCCATATTTGATGATTTTTGTTATTAGAATTAATCTAATAGGGCTGACTTTTTATTGGTGCAGCAATGCCGGGCAAGGGCTATTTTCACCAGGAAACATATTGCTATCTCTATTTTCAAGTGAAAATCGTTGTCACTGCTGCCTGACATCAGGCTTGCGCCCATAATAGAATTTTTTAACATTTGAAAGTAAGAGGCAAAATATGTATCATCTTCTTACGACCGCGCTAACAGGAGATAAACGGCAATGTTTGAAAATCCATAACAAGAGCATTTTAGTTTTCGTTTTTTTGGTTGTGAGCACTGTGGTTTAGTTTAAGAGACCTTGATATAAGTTTTAGGTATATGTTATTTAATTGATTTAAAAGATGTACTATTATTTTAGGTTAAATACAACCGTTTTTTTTATAACCTTCATAAAAGCTTACATCTAGGTGAGGTAAAAAGAACCTTTACCCCGGCATAGATGTAAAAAATAAAAAAGCAAATAAAATAGTAAATGAAGTTAAATTAAAAAACTTTACAAAAGATAAGGTAAATTAATAGTTATTTCAACTCTGCTGATGATATTTCTGACTAAATACCAGATCAAGGTTATTTACAGTTATATCTCTGTAAATAACCCTGTTATAAATTCAGATTGTTTTTCCTTATAAATGTTTATGTATATTACTTATTATGCAGTATTAAGGCATATTTAAATGGTAGAATTTGTCCAGGCACCGGTTTAATAAAGAGCGTAATGATTTTTGCCTTGATAAATACGAAGATATATTGGATAAATTCATTATTGAAAGATTTTTGCTCGAAATGGAAAATAACAAGTGGGCGTAAATAATAACGGTTATTATGTATACGTAAACACGTTTTATTACATCAGTTACTTATTGAGATTATTATTCATTTTAGATATTATTTTGGTAATTATGGTCGACTTTGATCTATAGGTTAGTAGTTGCAGGTACGACTAAGACTGTAGGAGGAACGAC